TGGCTGGAGGGCCGCACCCAGAGGGAGGTGGTGGACGGGTCTTAATCAACCTAGAGGGATGTGGGTAGTGGGGTTCCCCAGGGCTCGGTCCTCATGCTTGTGCTGTTCAATATCTTCATCAGTGACTTGGGTGAGGGGGTAAAAAGCACCCTGTTCAAATTCGCAGATGACACTAAGATGTGGGGTGAAGTAGGTACACTAGCAGGAAGGAACAGGCTGCAAGTGGATCTAGACAGGTTACAGGGGTGAGCCGATGAGAACAGGATGAGGTTCAACACTGACAAGTGCAGGGTAATGCACCTGGGGAGGAAGAAACAGCAGCACACCTACAGGCTGGGGAATTCCCTTCTCGCCAGCGTCGAGACAGAAAAGGATCATGGAGTCATCATTCATGCCATAATGAACATGGGTCGACAAAGTGGGGACGTGGTCAGGAAGGCCAACCATACCTTGTCGAGCAACCACAGATGCATCTCAAGCAGGTCCAAGGAGGTGATCCTCCCCATCTATGCGACACTGGTCAGGCCGCAGCTGGAGTACTGTGTCCAGTTCTGGGCACCACATTTCAGGAGGGATGTGGCCAATATGGAGACAGTCCAAAGGAGGGCCACCCACATGATCAGGGGTCAGCAGGGCAGGCCCTATGAGGAGAGGCTGAGGGACCTGAACCTGTTCAGCCTCCAAAAGAGAAGGTTGAGAGGGGATCTAGTGGCAGTCTACAAACTAGTCAAGGGGGACCAGCAGGCATTGGGAGAGTCCCTCTTCCCCCGAGCAATCCCAGGAGTTACAAGAAACAACAGACACAAGCTAGCAGAGGGTAGTTTCAGGCTAGACATTAGGAGGCGCTATTTCATTGTCAGGGCGGCTAGGACCTGGAACCAACTTCCAAAAGAAGTGGTGCTGGCTCCTACCCTGGGGGTCTTTAAAAAAAGGCTGGATGAACATCTGGCCAGGGTCATTTGACCCCAGTACTCTTTCCTGCCACAGCAGGGGGTTGGACTAGATGATCTCCTCAGGTCCCTTCTGACCCTACCAACTATGAAACTATAAGACTTAAATGCCAGTGGGAAACACCTATATAAATTAAATATCTTATTCTGGAGACCAGATCTGTTGGCCTTTGCCAGAGGCGGGCAATTATTTTTGGTGGAGGGCTACTTAATGAGTTTTGGTGAATTGTCGAGGTCCGCATGAGTAGTCCCACCCCTTGACAGTTGCCTCGCCCCCTTTTCACCATCTTGAGCCTGGAAGTTCCACCCCCTAACCCCTGAACTTTGCCACTGGAAGTCCTTCCCCTTGCCCCCCAGAAATACTTCTTTTGGGAGAGGGGGTTGCCATCTTGGAACCAGAAATAAAAAACCCAAATCATACACTAAGAGTCAAACAACTACTAGAACATATTATAATTTTATTACAAAAAAACATTTTTGTCATGATTTGTGTTTGTGTAGTGTAAATAGAGGTGATTGCATAATAACTCAAACATAAATTCTTAGTTTGGTATAATGTATGCGTGGTGTGTGGGGGGTATGTGTGTACAGTATATGTGATCTGTGTGTATGATAGATGTGTATGGTGGAGTGTGGGAGGGTTGTGAGGGGGTGTGGCTCTGTGTGGGGGGCATAAGGTATGTTGGGGGCTGCATGTGTGGGGGGGTGGAGGCAGGGTGTAGGCATGAGGGAGGTTGGGGGGGTGTGGTGATCCCTCCACACTCCTCCCATGGTGCAGCAGTAGGCAGGGCACTCAGGGTACAGGTGCCCAATGGGGCACAGTTCTGGCCAGTGCTGCACATCACAGTGAGGGGAACAGCGTCAGAACAGCTGCCTGTATCACCGGCACTCCCTGCCACTCATGAGCATTCCCTGGACTAACACAGCAGGGAGGGAAGCCCCACGTGCTGGGGCTGCCCAGCAGAAGAGAGAAGCCTCAGGTGTTGGAGCTGGCTGCCTCCCTGCAGGGGCTGTGCTGCACAGGAGGGAAGTTGCAGGCCGGGAAGGCAGATAGAAACTTCAGGCTCTGGATCTATCTGGTGCTGCACAGCTCTGGCAGAGAAGACACTTTATCAAATTAATCTTCTGCAGTGAAGTGTGGGTTCAACTAGTCTTTAATTTATTTCTTCACAGGCACTAAAAAACATTAGAGGAATGATGCTCCAAGTAGATCAAATGGTGTGGGATAGAAGGAAGGAAATGTTCAAATCTAGTTCAATTACAGTAATTTTACTCTTGTACTTTTACTAATTGAACCTGCGCTTCACTGAGGAAGATTAATTTGATATTTTTTATTGTTTATAAACTTTTGCCAAAATCATTAGGGCTGTGCGCCAGGCGCTGATTTGATTTGGAGGAGACTTGGCCCAATTTGGCGACTGACTCTCTGAATCTGAATTGAATTGGGAGAGCAATAAAAAGGTTCAAGTCAATTTGGAAAAGATTTGGAGAGCTTCGGAGATTTGAACAGTCCCTACTTGCTGCTGCAGGGAGCTGGACCTGGGCTCCATGCCAGTAAGTGCGGGGGCGGGGGCTGGAGGAGAGGGGAATCCATGGGGGGACCCCCACCAGGCCCCATCCCCTGCCTGCTCCCCCAGCCACCTTGAACACCCCCCAACTCCTGCCCACTCTCCCAGCCCCATCATTGGCTGCCCTACCTGGCCCCAGGGTTCCAGCACTTAGAAGAAAAAAAAAAAGCCCCGTACTCACTGGATGCTTCAGGGACCATCAGGGCTTCTGGGGGCTTGTGGCAGAGCCTGCCATGCAGTGCAGGGCAGTGGGGGACAGCAAGGATTGCGCCCCCCCCACCTAGCAGGAGTCAGCGGCTGCAGGGCTTTTTTTTTTCTTTCTTTTTTTAAAGATCCAGGATGCTGGAGCTGGGTGGGGGACACAGCCTGTTTGAGGGGTCTTCCCTGCCAGGGCTGCACAGCACCAGAAAGAAACTTCAGGCTCTGGGGCTATCTGCCTTCCTTGCCTGCAGCTTTCCACCTGTGTAGCATAGGCCCTGTAAGGACAGCCAGCTCCAGCACCTGAGGCTTCTCTCTGGTGCTCTGCAGCCCCGGCAGCAAAGACACCTGGCTGCAGCACACGGGGCTTCCCTCCCTGGTGTGCAAGTGCAGAGAATGCACATGAGAGGCAGGGAGCACCAATGATACAGGCAGCTGCTCTGAGGCTATGACCCTTGCTGCATTATGTGGCACTGGCCAGAGCTGCACCCCACTGGGCACCTGCACCCTAAGCACCCCACCTGCTGCAGCACCATGGGAGGAGTGTGGAGGGGTCCCCATACCCCCCCAACCTCCCTCACACCTGCTCCCACAATCCACATATACACAACTCCCCAACACACCATGTGCCCCCCACACACAGACACCCCCCTCACAACCCCCCCACATACTTCCACACATCACATATACCACAAACACATACCCCCCCACACACCGATACTACACATACCCCACATGCACACCATATACAAAACTAAGAATTTATTTTTGAATTATGTAAATCACCTCTATACACACTAATCATGACAAAAATATTTTTGTAATAAAATTAAAATGTTATAGTAGTTGCTTGACTTTTAGTGTATGATGATTTTTTTTATGGTTCCAAGATGACAACTCCCACTCCCAAAAGGAGTATTTCTGGGGGGCAAGGAGAAGGACTTCTGGTGATAAAAGTCAGGGTCTAGGGGGTGGGACTTCTAGTTCCAAAATGGTGAGAAGGGGGTGTGGCTCGTGTCAAGGAGTGGGACTACCATGCAGACCTCGACAGCTCACCAAAACTCATTAAGCAGCCCTCCACCCAAAATAATTGCCCATCCCTGGCCTAGGCCAACATTTCTGGCCTCTGGAATGAGAGATTTAATTTATATAAATAATTGTCAAATCACTGCTTAGAGAAAGCATTTAGTTTGAGACAAATTCTTAAAGTTCCCTCCCAACCATACTAGGCGTCCTTGGGCAAGTTATACAACTACTGTAGTCCCCTTAAGTATAAGAGACTGAATTTAAGCATTTCACAAAGGTATTGTGAGGATTAATGAATATTAATACACAGAGATGCATTACCTTGATCCAAGGAAGCTAAAACAAGGGTAACTCAAGTTTTGGGCTCTGCAGGACAGATGAATAGTGTGGGGCTGGTCTGTAGGCTGGACAAGGGCCTGTGCCAACCCCTTCCAAACCATGGACTCCAAACATATGGCTCCAAGGCCCTGCACACCCAATCTACCATGCAACACTGTAACCCATGATACTCCCCGCCATGGGCCAGATGACACAGCATTGGGGGCCAAGCATCCCTGAGCCAGAATAAAGACACATGCTAACCATAACGCTATGTGATAAAGCTCATACCTACATTGAATAACTAAGAAGTAGGTGTGCTGTATAAGACTACAACATTATTAAAAGAATGGTAGCAGGTAAACTGTTACCTTACTACTTCTCCATAATATAAACAAGTGGAGCAGTTATAATGCTCAGGTAAAGTGCTATATGGCTGCAGGCAGATCATAGATGTAGATGACAAAGTAGTTAAAATGTCAACATTTCTATTCTACTGTGAGCAGTGATTGGAAGTTTCAGGAAAAGGGAAAACAATCAGACAAGAAGACCTAAAATAGACATCCCATTCATGCTGTGTGGAGTTTCAGACCTGGCTGCAATGTTTAGCAACCCACTAAAAATGAAGAGTTATACTACAAAATGGTAAAGCCAGGCAGTACAGAATGCCATTGGGGCAAAACTTGTCATATGCCATCAAACATTAAGGGAAAGACAATGCAACTATTTCTATCTTATTTTGTATTTTAAAATCTAGATTTATCCCATCATCAAATAATACCAACCTGTTGTCCAAGGTTTAATTACCAACAATTATTACCACAAGGTAACTTTAATTATTCAAGGAAAGTACTGGTTTCTAAGCACATTTTAATGAATCATAAGCCACTGATAATGACAATTCTTAAGGAAGGCTAATAATTTTTTTTCTGTAACTTACATCAAATGTAGGTGTGCTTTGCTGTGCATTCTGATTACATGGCTCTCTGAAACAGTCGCTGAAGGGAAGCAGTAGACCCATTGCAATAATCCGAGAACATAGCTTCTCTGCTTCTTCCTGTGGTGCATTCTCCTGCTGGCTGAACAGCTTTTCCAACAGAGTTCGCCCTGCCAAGTTAATATAATAGATCATCAATAACCTGTAACTATGTAGAATTCATAAAAAAAAGCTTAAGGAATCCTTTCCAATGCATTAAAAAATCTCCACAGCATAATACTGTGAATATCAGGTTTACCAGTATACTATAAAATTCAGCTGAAAACCACCTCCCATAGCATACTCTTTTGTGTGATGGTTAAGAATAATTTGGACTGAAGTTGCATTTTTACTAGTTTGGGATTTTAGAAGGAAAAATTATAATAGTTGATTCAAGTGACCTAACAGCTTTACTGTACAGATAAAAATATTGAGGTGCCATTCTAAAATCTGTTTCCCAATATGAGGCCCACAAACAAATCATTTAGACTCAGCCACTTAGCTTTACCACAGGTTTTCCAAGGCCAAGTGTATACTGAATCATCTTCCAGATGGGGAAAGTGAGTTACTATCCAAAGGTGAAGCAACTTAAAGTTAGGACCATGTTGCATGTCACACTTAATGTGTTAATATAACTGTTAACTGCACTTAAAATGTGAGCAGCCATGCATTCAAGCAACAAAACAGGTGCTAAGTGCAATTATATTGTAGCAAAGTTTCATGGGAGTTATCTCCAGGTCATATTAAATAACACATGTTCACTTATCATCTAATGGCTCCAAAGAAATAATAAGATTCAAGATTCTGGTGCAGTGTGGGGGCTGGCAACAGGACTGTAACACTCCTCCTCTCCCCACACCCCCACCCCAGTTCAATTCCTCATACCCTCCTTCACCCACTGCCAGCAGCAGAGACCCAGGTTGCCCCAGTGTGCCAGGGCAAGGGCTTCTTAGGTAGGTAATGCAAACTCCAGCCCTATCTAAAGCAGGCTGAGATTGTAGTAAGCATTACTGTGCCATATTTGAAGTTAGAATGCATTCTAACCAGTCACATAGTAATGCTTACTACAGTCTAAATAAAAACACGTGCCAAATGTCCTTGAGACAAGACACTTACACAGTAAACAATTTTAGAGTCAAGAATGGTCTGGTCTCAAACTCCTCTGCTCTCAAAGTCCTAGCTTCAGCCTTTACTATCAAGAGGACCACACAAAAAGCCCATTATGATCTTTAAGAGGTGCTCCATTTCTTCCTCTCCATTTGGCACCAGTGAGGTCACATCTGGAGTACTGTGTCTAGCTTTGGATCCCCCTTACAGAAAGGATGTGGACAAATTGGAGAGAGAGCTCAGTGGAGGGCAACAGAAATGGTTAGGGGGCTGGAGCGCATGACTTCTGAGAAGAGGCTGAGGGATCTGGGCTTATTTAGTCTGCAGAAAAGAAACGGAGGGGGGATTTAACAGCAGTGTTTAGCTCCATCCTCTTGGGAACCACCCTTCAAGCAGTTAGACTTCTCTGTGGTGGCAGATGACAGAAGAAGGAGCAAAGATATCAATTTGCTGCAAGGGAAGTTTAGGTTAGATATTAGGAAAAACTCTCTCACACTGGAACAGGTTACCCAGAAAGGTTCTGGACTCTCCATCCTTGGAAGTTATTAAGACCTGGCTAGACAAAGCCTCAGCTGGGATGATCTAGCTAGGGATGGTTGTGCTTTGAGCAGGGGCTCAGACTCAATGACCTCCTGAGTTCCCTTCCTACCCTCATTTTTTATGATTCTATGACTTCTGGGGAGAAAGTCTCATGCCATTAAAAAAATAAAATCTAGGACTTACTCCAATTTAAGAACAGCATTAAGGAAATTCTATAGTAGCATAGTGTTGCATATTATAACAAAGCAATTTAATAACAAACACACGCATTCAACAAATTTTCCAAAGCCTGCATTGTAGGACTCCTGAAATGTGGAGGTTTTCCAGTGTTACAAGCAGCACATGACCCTAATTCATGTATTACCTTAATCTCAGGTGGCATAAGTCTATTGCATTTAAAATTATTTTTATTTAATTTCATTTCAAGATGTTGGTCTTTATGCTACAGGGCTTAAGGATTGAAAACTTTTAAAAGCCATTTCTGTATGGAGACCCAATTTTAGATTTTTTGTCTTTCTTAATAACACAGCATAGCCCAGTGGATCAAGTACTGACCAGCAAGAAAGTTTGCCTTTATTATACCTTATACAACCAATTTGATTTCTTAAAAAATTACGTAACATCTTATAGGTCATGTAACCAAAGCAGACAGAAGAGACACAAGATATCACCTCTCCCATGACTTTTAATTCCTTTTGCCTCCAGACCAATACAGCTACAACGTAGATACCCGACACATGAAAGATATCAAATTTTAGCCATTTTTTAAATGAAAAGTTCATACTTTTATAAGTAGGAAGCATTTTATCATCTGAGTTGCTAACACCAGACTTCTGCTATTGTTTGTGTAAATTTGCATCTCTCAGAGCACAGAAACACAGATACCTCACCACAAAAGAAACTCCTGCCCAGAAGAGATTTCCATCTTTCCACTCTTCTGTGAAATATGAAGCATCATAACCTGAAGGAAATATGCCTCTACATCCAGCTTGCCAACTTTGAGGTAAAAACTATTTCAACTTTTCTCTGTGCCTAACTTGGACAAAATGAACTATTCCAAACAGGAGACTTTACTATATCTTCAGCTCTCCTGTGAAATATGAATTTTAATCTTTACCTAGGAGAACTCTTACAAACTCTGCTCTCTCCTATGCCTGATGAAAGGTGTGTGCCTGAAAGCATGAAGATAAATACAATAATTTGTTTGCAAATATCTAGTTGGTCTAATAAAAGATATCACACCTCTTCTATGAGTTTTGATTCCCATAAGAAAAGATACAAACACAAAATGTCTTCTTCTTTGAATTGTTTCCTCATATGTAGCTTACGGTATACTGCAGGGGTGGGCAATTATTTAGGCTGGCAGGCCACTTAATCAGTTTTGGAGAGCTGTTGAGGGCCACACACACAAAATCTTTCAGAAGATATCATTTTAACAAGTTATAAATAAAAACAAATCATATCCTAAAAAAACCACAAACATCTACTATAAAATATTTTAACTTTATTTTAAAAAATAATTTTTGTCCTGTTTGATGTGTTTTTGAATAGTATATATAGAAGCAATTGCATATAGCTCAAAATAGTCTAACTCTTATATATTGTTAGTGTTGGGGTTTGTGAAGGGAAAGACGGTATTGTACATATGTATGAGGGGGAGGGGGAGGCTGCCCACATACTAGGTCCCAGGAACCGGTCAGGGATGCAGGGAAGGAGGGAAGGATAGGGGTGAGGGGGCTGGGAGGCAGGGGGCACTTACAGCAGAGCTCACAGGGGTGGTGCACTCTCACCCCCTATCTGGCCCATGGCTGCTCCCATAACACTCCACATTGGGCCAAGCTCCACCAGCCCCTTCCTGGTACAGTCCACACCTGCAGATGGCACCACTCTGACCTCAGCCCCAGGCAGTGTACAGCTTCTCGTTGGTGCATCTGGCCACCCACGGACAACTGCTCATCTCGCTTGGGTGGCCAAGTGGGTGGAAGACAGTTGGGAACTGAAGCTGGAGCCCCACACACTGGGACAACAGCAGCCCAGCTACAGCTTCCCCCCTGCATGGCTGGACATGTTGCACCCCGTATGAACCCCCATGGATGTCATTGCCTCCCTGTGCTACCTACTGCCCAGAGCAGTGCAGCAGGGGCAGGAGGAGGAGCCATTGAAGGTGGGGGGAGCTGAGCAGTACTTGGGTGGCTGCAGCAGCAGCACTGTGTGCTTTGGCTGGGGCTGTCAGCAGGGGCAGGTTGAGGGCAGCTAGGAGCATGGTTTGAGTTGTCTCAAGTGGGATCACATGGAGTTTGGCCCCATGCAGAGTGTCACTGGGGCAGCCATGGACCAGATACAATCAGTTGGTGGGCCAGATCCAGCCTGTGGGCTGTACTTTGCCCACGCCTGCTCTACTCTAACCCCCATATCTTTCTCCATAGTAAGGCAACCTAGCCAATCATTCCCCAGTCTGCATTTGTGCTTACAAATAGTTCTGTCCTAAGTGCAAGACTTGGCACTTGTCCTTGTTGAATCACATCTCTTTGATTTTGGACCATTTCCCCAGTCTACCCAGGTCATTCTGGATCTTTGCCCTACCTCCAACATGTCTGCAACGCTATCCAACTTGGTATCATCCAGAAATTCCCTGAGTGTGAATTCACTAAGCAGGTACTCAATCTCATCCTCCAAATCATTAAGATGTTAAATAATATTGGGGTCAGGACAGAATCCTGGAAAACCCCACTTGATACTTTCTCACAAGTAAACAGTGAGTCCCTAATGACTACTCATTGCGCACAGTGATCCAAACAATCATGTCCACTTTACAGTAAGTCTTAAAATGGTCTTAAAAATAAAATTGCAACAAGGGAAATTCAGTTTGGATACTGGGAAGAACTCTCTCACTATGAAGGCTGTTAGGCACTAAAACAGAGTTATGGAAAGGTGCCAGATTGGTAACTTTATAGATAAATTCACAGGCAATACAAGCTTTTTCATATTAGATCAAAGTTCTGAGTACAACCAGTGATTTTGGGGGTCCAACTTGAAACCATGATAAACTACATCAAGTTCTGGAAACCAGTCCCCTTTAAGGTGTTAAATCTGAACTTTAAACTTAGATTTTATATATCTAAGATGCATAAAACTAAGTATATACCCTACATCACTATTTTAAGAAGTTGTAAACTACACTTTAAACCAAACAAAAAGATCCTTTACAGCAGTAAATTTGCTGGTCCGTAAAATGGCACCTGCTTTGCTAGTCTTACCTTGAATATCTTGGGAATAGAATACCATACTTAACTAAAATCTTAGAACATCTATACGCATGCTCTGAAAGATGCTCTAATTAAAGTGCCTGTAGTGTCGCATCTATTCAGCTACCTTCACTTCAAAATGGTGGTGGGGGCACTTAAGTAAAGCATGTTCAATGAACTTTAGTTAAAAAGCCCCCGCCACCATTTTGAAATGGGGGCACTCTGAATACACATGATGCAAAAGCTGCTGGAGTACACTGATTA